TATTGGCGTATCAACTTTTCTATGCCAAAAAAGCACAAAATTTATGAAAATTTCTTAAGTTCGACCATAACAGTTTTTGATAACTCTTACTATTTACTGCCAATAAATCCGATTTTCGACGTGCTTTAATTTGGTATAAAATAAGTTATGTATGCTATTTGAAATTATGGTGTTACCCCCATGGAAAAACATTTTTAGCCACCCTGTACATTACAAGCTATGATCAGTCAGATTAGCTCTATTTCGCTGTATAAAGAACATGAAAATTCGATATAATTTATATTTTATTTTAAAAAAAGGCTACATTGAAATTCGCACTGTATTCGTACATAAAGATAGGTTAGATTTATTTCTAATATTTTCGAATGTCTGTCGAAACTAGAAGGTTATTTAGGATACTTGTTGGCTAAATATTCTTCCCACGTATTAGAATTTAATGAAATATTGTCACAAGTATTGTAACCTTCGGTGAATCCATTGAGAATTTCACCAATTATCGGCATTTTAACCGCCGGTTTCTTTTCTGGACGCGCTTCTAATAATGAATCCGCTATTTCTTTCATCGTATATATCTTTCTACCACCAATATTATATGTGCTATTCAACGGTGGTTCTTTTACAATTTTAGCCAATTCCATAGCTACTGCTTCTACTTGAATAGGCTGTATTTTTGCGACTTTTGAAACAGTATCCATTGGATAATTCAGCAAATAATTTGCAAAATCCTCTACAAGACTGTGAAACTGAGTGGCTCTCAGTATGGTATATGGAATACCACTTTCTTTGATTAAACGTTCACATTCCAGTTTTCCTTTGTAATACGAAAACGGCATTTTATCAACTCCTACAATTGAAAGATATACCAAGTGTTTAATATTTTTTTTCTGAATAGAATTTAATAAATTCTTTGTTAAAGTTATATCGATAGGCTGACCATCATTTGTTGTTGCTTGAGGCAAGCTTGCAAGATATAATATTGTATCTACATCATCATCTATAGATTTATTTATTCCTTCGTTTTTTGTCAAATCCATATGAATCCATTTTGAAGTTGACTGAGAAGCAGCATTATCATTATCATTATCTATTGCTATTGGATTGCGACTGCCAATAAGAAAAGTTGTTTGACTTGAAAGAAATAATTTAGATAATGTCTGCCCTACAGGACCAGTCCCACCAACAATGAGTACTTTCATCATTGTTTGTAATAGTTTTATAGTAGTACGATTGGAAATCAATATATGAGATCACGATATCTAAAAGAAAAATTTTTTATTAACAGAAACCACGGAAAAACAAAGAAATTCTCCATCCATCTTAAATTAAGAAAGTAAGAATGAAAATAATCAAAATGATACTAAAAATATCAGACAAGATGCTAAGCGACAAAACAAAATATGTATGTATCTCAACTGGAAAAACGTGAATAATAAGAAAGCAAAGTGGCGAGGCAAAGCAGAAATGTGTGCTGGTTGCGATAAGAAAGAAAGCAAAAAGGATACAGTATGGGTGATGGGCATGCAGAAATATATGTATCGACGCAGAAAGGCAACAGAACGAGACAAAAAACCACGCTTATTAGCTCGCTTCGACGAGCTTACGTTTGTTTATTTAAAATGTATATATATCTCAAAATGTCCTTAATAACACGTACATATATACAGGTCGTTCAGTTTATTTTGAAACGATTTAGATCGAGTTTTTCTTCATTAGTGACTTATCGAGATCTGATGATTCTCATATCAGTCTATCGTACATGCATTGCAGAGGTTGTTCTAATATCCTTAGTTTGCATAAACGAGTGTCTGATAATAAAATATCTGATAATATTAAAGGGTACGTGACATATCTTTTGACGAAATACCATTAATATATTGTGAAACAGGAACAATTATCTGAAATGCATTCGTATGTATCAAAAAATACCAGTAGACGNTGACGAAATACCATTAATATATTGTTGAACAGGAACAATTATCTGAAATGCATTCGTATGTATCAAAAAATACCAGTAGACGTGTCTCTAAAAGGATTGAAAAACAGCCCCAAGCAGCTTTATTAAATAGTATAAATCCGAAATTTATCGTCGATGCCATGTGGCAACACATACAATTGATTCGTCCTAATGCATCACATATAGACAAAGAACATCCTCCCACTAATTAGTTAATTGTTATGAGATGTCCTAATAGTATTCATTCAATCTTCCATACTATTCGGGATATAATTCATGCAAAAGAACGTAAAAAAAACTATTATATCTTTTATATCCATCTATCCCTGAAAAGAGACGATCTTAGTGCTCAACGTATGTATTATCGATTACGCCATGTGGTTTATAAAAATGATGTGAGGATCGATAAGACATAATTACTAACGGAACTGGAACTGTTTTTCAATCTTTCTAAATACACGTCTACTGGTATTTTTTGATACATACGAATGCATTTCAGATAATTGTTCCTGTTTCACAATATATTAATGGTATTCCGTCAAAAGATATTTCGCGTACCCTTTAATATTATCAGATATTTTATTATCAGACACTAGTTTATGCAAACTAAGAATATTAGAACAACCTCTGCAATGCATGTACAATAGACTGATATGAGAATCATCAGATCTCGATAAGTCACTGATGAAGAAAAACTCGATGTAAATCGTTTCAAAATAAACTGAACGATCTGTATTACAAGATACAATAGCGAAGAAGAAGAGAAAAAAAAAGAAAAAGAATAACAATTGCAAAGAGAGATAGATAGATGAGGTGGATCGAGGCTTGTAACAATCCTCCCCTCTTATGAAATGTGTGTCCTCACACGTTGAAATATTGCACGTTCATGATCAAATGCACATGGATAGAAAAGCATTTGTGGTGTTTCAGATGGAATTAAAAGTAAACATGAATAACCTATTTCTGCTATCCATGATGGTATGTGTCCCATCATAATAACAACAGGATCTTGTAATTATCTATTAACTTGAGATGTTAATTTAGTTGATAAAAATTCATTTTTTGATATCAATGTTATTAAAGAATTTTGATTATTACACATTGTATGTGTATCTATACATAAATCATACCAATAGAGATTTAACTATTTACTGTTCGTAAAAGAAATATAGCATGGAATGCCAAATCATTTATTGTTAATATTGATGCTAATGATTCCTCTAATGTTGCTATTCATAATGATTTTAATTTTTCATCTATAATATATTCAAATGATGAATTTGAATTGTGTGGTAAATCAATAGTTAATGGATCTTCAAATTGTAATTGACAAATAATTGGTGCATATTGATCAAATGTTGTTGATGGACATTGAATGTTAATTCGATGAAGTTGATATAATAATTCTTGTCCAGATTTAAATTGTAATGACCATGAAAAAATTTCATTTTGATTTAATCGCTTTCTTAATAAGTAAACCATTTTCCAATCCTTTTCAAAAATTTCTCTTTTTTTTAATATTTGAGATGTATAAACTTTATTAATCCATCCATCTTTTTATTTTCTTTAATTCCATTTCGAAAATATTTATCTAATATGACTATATCTTTAATTTGAATAGAAAGAATATTATTTAAATCTTGTTAACTAAGTTGTGATTGAAGAGTTTGATTCAATTGAGAAATTATTTTTACCAACATATATTCATTTATATTTCTTCTTTGTATTGTTTGCTTAAAATAAGTAACATATCTTTAAGTGACATTGATTGTACGTCATAAACGATTTGATGTTGATTTTTCCATGATTAAATTGTGATTGATAAAGTTCATAAATATATTGTTTTATCAGTAGATTGTCCACCACGTTGTAAAGATGTCACAGGAATAGGTGTTGTGTACCATGTGTATAATGTGAAATCAGAAATGATAATTTTGGATCAATAAGGATGAATTATTTCATTGGAGAATTTTTCCATTAATAGATAAAATTCATATCATAGATGTTGATGATCTGAATAAATAAAAAAATAATTATGATTGTTTAGAATTATATTATACTCCTTTGTTAATGTTGTCGTTGTGCTGTTGTAGTTGTTTATTTTCTAAATATTATTCATAATTAATTTGATTTTATTATTTTTGTATATTTTTTTGTTTTTATTTTTAACCCCATCGATTAGCGTATTGTGCTTTTGAAAAATAATTTATTTTTATAATATTTGTTGCATGTTCTAATTCTTGTCAAGATTTAAAGCCAATAATAACTTCATGGTATTTACAATTAATTGTTATTTGATGACTTGTATGTATGTTATCATCACGTAACTGAGCACGTATTTTTCTAAAGTCATATTTATAATATATTGGACTTGTTAGTTTATCTTGAAAATCTGGTCTGTTTCGTTGTTTTCATTTAAGTTTTTCATTTTCTCGTTTTTGTTTTTCTGTTTTGATATTGTGCTGGTGGTGGTTTGTGTATTTGATAATTGTTGTTGTTGTTATTCATTTAAGTTGAATTCATTCATTTCTTCTTGTGTTGTTTCAATTGTTAGTGCATGTGGTTCATCATCTGGTGAATATGATGTTGGTTCACGTTTATCGAACTTTGGTTTTAAAATTTCAATTAATTCATCTTCGCTAATATCCAGTAATTCATTTTCCAAGTGCTTAATAATATTTGTTGATATTGTTGTTGTTGGTGGTGTTTCAGGTACTTGGTGATTGTCTGCTTTGTTAGGATACATATGAAAGGGTGTGGGTGCGGGTGTGGGTGTGGAGTACGCGTGTGGGTGTGGGATGTGGGTGTGGGTGTGGGTGTGGGGTGTGGGTGTGGGTGTGAGGCATCTCTTAGCCTGTACGCACACCCACTTTCTGCTAAAATAAGATCATTGAAAACAAACAATTACAGTGATAAATATCATGAAGATCATGGACGCTGAGAACTCTCATGTAACTTTATACGAAATTATTTTGTATGATATACTATTTTAAAGTAACTTTTAAAAACAGTATCTAAATCATTCAATTTTGTAGAAAATTTTTTTATGAACTAAATCTATTCGAAAAGTTTTATGGAACTTCATGAGAGTTTAGAATTGAAATTTACTATTTCTTTCTGGTCATACATTCATCAACAAAGATGTATAATCATTACAGAAATACTCTGTTTCATTTATTTCTTTACTTCGGATATGTATTTCTTTCTATTCATGTTTCATCTATTAATTTTGTGTGTTTTTTTTTACTAAATTAGTTTTTAGTGATTCTGAAAGTGAAAAGGTATAAGGAAGATCAAGAGATCATATATTAAGTGATGCTTAGTCCTAATTGTTGAAATAGAATGATAGTCCTGACTCTTGATATGCATCTATTAAATTTAGATTCTGATTGCTATTGTATAGACGCGAAGAAACAAAACTTTAGATTAAATTTTTATTGATTATTTTTGTCGAATAATATCAATGAGTTTAATCCAAAATGAAAAATTCATCGGATTTGTAATTATAATCAAAAAAATAGAAGATATCAATAGAATGAAGTGCTTATACTATTAATTATAGATTATGTTAATTTTATTGAAATGTATCCAGGGCGAAACTGCCCTATGGGATCCTATCGAATCCAGAGAATTCCAACAGGATCCGACAACTTCCAACGAATTCCTATTGGATCCGATAAAGTCCGATAGTTTTCCGATAGGATCCAACGGGATCCGCCAGTCAGATCAGTCGACCTGGATACATTGGCAATATCAAACAATAGCTAAATCAATAGAATTTAATACTGATGATGAGTCGATGAAGTCGAAAGTTCAATTAAATATTGAAATTAACATAATCTATAATTAATAGTATAATCACTTCATTATATTGATATCTTCTATTATTTTGATTACCAATCTGTTGTATAAGAGTATATGACAATGATGTTTGAGAAATAAAATCTAATATACAGTAAAACCTCTCTAATGTGAACACCATTGGGACTTTTCAAAAGTGTTCACTATATGAAGGTGTTCAGTTTAGAGAGATGACGCATATTTTGCTGAGAAATGAAGAAAAAATGCAGAATTTCTACTGCTACACTAGTCTTGAGTTAAGCAGAAGCTATTTTTTCTTATACTCATTTATTTTCATTTAAATGTTTTTTGTTGAAAAATTTTTAAATACAAGACAGGATTTAGTTTTGTTGAAAAAAAATCTTCTAATGGCGTTTGTCTTTTTGTTTTTGAATTAATATAAACATCCGTTAATTTTGATTCTAATTGATTAATTAATTGATGTAATTGTGGTTGTTGTGTTGTTGTTAGTAAGTGAAATTTTCTTATCATTTCCATTGCTTCCATTATTTTTGGTGGTGATTCTGTTGGTATTCGATCATCATCATCGTAATCATCAGCCTATTCCTTAATGTGACATACTACAAGGTGTTCACAGTTATCAAATCATTCGTTATATGCGGATGTGTCATTATCTATATCAACAAAATCAGCTGCATTCAGTGTTTGACCACCAATTGTGACATGTTCTAATAGGTCATTTAATATTTTTAAATCTTTATGTGGTTCATCATACATTGGTTTTGTGCTATCTGTTGATGATGTTATTGTATCATCATGTTGTTTATCTTTAAAACCAGCTGCATGAAATGTATTTCGTATTGTTGTATCTGTACCAGCTTTCCATGCTGCATCAATCCAGTAAATAGCATCTAAAGGTGTAACTTTAATATCATTTGATGTTTGAGCTGTTGTACAACGTGCTATTATATGTTTAACTAAATGTTTACGATAATGTGTTTTAAATGCATGTATAATATCTGGATCTAATGGTTGAAGTATCGATTTGCTATTTGATGGAAAATATTGTAATTTTATATTTGATTATTCGACATCAACAGGATGACAAGGTGCATTATCAAGAAATAATATTATTTTTCTTTCTTATTTTACCATTGATGCGCTTAAATTTGATAGCCATTCATTAAATAACTTAACATTCATCCATGCTGTTTTATTTGCTCGCCAATCTACTGGAAGTTTATTAACATTTAAATTTTTAAAAGATCGTGGTTTTAAACTTTTAGCTAAGAGGCAAAACAAACAAAAATTTATCAAGTTTTTAGAGTATTTCAAAATATTTAAGGATATTTAGAGAACAGTACATATTAATTACCAGTGGTTTTAATTTTTCTTCACCAGTTGAATTAACACAAAATAAAATAGTATAGCGTTCTTTTGATTTTTTACCACCTTTACATTCTTCTCTATTTAATGTTAAAGATTTATCAGGCATAAATTCAAAAAATAGTCCTGTTTTATCACAATTAAACATATTTTTTGAATCATAACCATCAGTAATTTTTGGTATTGGTTGAATCCAATCATTAACAGTTGTAATATCAACAGATAAACTTTCGCCGCTAATAATACGAAAAGAAATGTTGTCTTGTTCTAAATTTTTCTCACCAGCCATTCAATGCTTTAAATGAATCCTAGCTACCACCTAATAACTCAGCTATTTCTCGTGCTTTTTCTTGTAAAATTGGTTCTGATATTGGTATATTTTTTGAACGTTGTTGTACAAACCATTCATATACTTCTTCATTGAGTTTTTGTGAATTAACATCCATTAATTTTCGTTTAACATTTTGATTCTGATTTGTTTCATAATCATTTAAATATTCTGCTTTACGTTTTAATACATTTAACACAGAACCAAGTGAAATATTATATTTTCCAGCTAGTTCACGTTGAGATAAACCATTACCATTCCTATTATCATTAATTAATTCAATTTTCTGTTGCAAAGTAAGATCATGACGCAATGACATTTTTTTAACGAATATTTGACTGCGTTTATTAGAAAAACAGTAAGCATATATATAAGAGAGAGATAATTAGACGAGACAGAGAAGAAGTCGAGAGGCTTCTTCGTCCGTTTAGAAAGTGAACAATGAGAACAATTAAGAAAATGATTCTTCTCATCCAGAGAACACATCAGGTAGAAAAAGTAGGTCAGACGAACAAGACATATGTGTAACAGCTGAACAGTAGGTCTGTTCATATTAGAGAGGTTATAGTAGCTAGATGGACTGGAAAAAACTGTTCATGTTCAGAATAGAGAAGTGTTCACAATAGAGAGGTGCATACCCAGCAAAAATCGCTTCGTCGGACCTGAGATTGTTCAGAATAAGGAGGTGTTCACTATAGAGAGGTGTTCACCAATAGAGATTTTACTGTATTTAAAACTTTTATTTTCGTTTTTTTTTGTGATTGCTTGAACTTATTAAATAATGAATTGAAACCTTAGTAAAAGTAATTATGAAAATGTATCGAATGACTTTTATTTCATTTAAAAAATTTTATTCAATAAAATTATTTCTTTTAAAAGATTTTATGAAAAAGATAAACAAAACATGTTT